CCTCCAGCGCGGGGACTTCTCGCTGTGGCTGCGCCCGGCCCAACGCGACGACGCGGGCGAATACCGCGCCACGGTGAACCTCAACAGCCTCGCTGCTGTGCGCTCCAAGGACCACGCCCTCTCCTGCCGCCTCCGTCTGCGCGTGGGCCAGGCCTCGAGTAGGTGGGGGCGGCACAAGGGGCGCTGGGCTGGGAGGAGGACGCCAGGTTCCCCGCCGCCCGGTGGCAGGAAGGGCTGGGCAAGACCGTGCTTCTAAGGATGCACCCTAGGCCCACCCAGAGAGGCCGCAGAAGGGTAGTGGAAGGGGGTGGGAAGCAGGATTGCGGTGTAGAAGGTGCCCCCAGAGAAGCACGTGTGTGGGGGAGGGCCCTATGGAGAGATCGTATCACCCCTTGAGCTCCCCTTCCCCCACCTACAGTGGAGTGCCAGGGTGGAGGAGGGGAGGCACCTCTGTAGTGGGGCGATGAGGGGCTAGAGCGATTCATTTCAGACATCTGTAGCTCACGGGGTGGGCTTAGTGGAGATCTTCAGCTAAGGCCTGGAGAAAAGGAGGGGCAGACCAAGCCATGTAAACTGGAGGCATGGGGCAAGCGAAGTAGACAGGAGACTCTAGGCATCCATTTTAAGCACCCCCAGGTTCCAGGCACTGAGCTGGGTGGGGTGGGGTTGAGGGAGGCTAAGACAAAAAAATCTACAGCTTCCAGTTTAGTTGTCCTGCTGTGTTGGGCAAGTGTGATGGGGCTGATCAAACCTTCTTTATCAATGCGCAGTGACTGCCAGCCCCCCAGGGTCTCTCAGGACCAACGATTGGGTCGTTTTGAACTGCTCCTTCAGCCGCCCGGACCTCCCAGCCTCTGTGCTCTGGTTCCGGGGCCCAGGCCAAATCCCTGTCCAGGAGTCGTCCCATCACCACTTAGTCGGAAGCTTCCTCTTCCTGCCCCAAGTCCGCCCCTTGGACTCTGGGCCCTGGAGCTGCATCCTCACCTACGAAGATGGCTTCAATGTCTCCATCACGTACAACCTCAGCGTTCTGGGTAACTCCTCCAGTCTGCCTTCACACTTGACCACAACCCCTTCCTGCCCCCCTTGTCACCTCCCCCTGACTTATGGGTCCCCAAAAGCAGGTCTTCAGCAGCTAATGCCACCTGCAATTGCTCCAGATCTCATTCTCCAACCCATTTCTCCCGCCCGTTGCAGCCTTTCAACTGCCTTTTCCCCTTCAAGACTTTCCCTTGACCATCCAGCCTCACTTGCCACCCTTTGGTCTCCTGCTGGCCCGGCCCATACCCTGGGTTTCCGAGCCCTCTCAGTTCATCCACCCTCTTCTGCTCCTTAGCATTCTTCAGAGCCGGACCACCTCCTTCACTCTTCTGCCTCACTTCCATGCAGACCCAGCACTCTAGCCCTTCTATTACTTCTCCCTCTCTGCTTTAACTTTGGGTTCCCTTTTCCCTCCAGGACCGGAGCCTCCAGTCTCTGAGCCTCCAGTTCCTCTGACAGTGTATGCTGGAGCAGGTTCCCAGGTGGAGCTGCCCTGCCGCCTGCCTCCTGGTGTAGGGACCCAGTCTTCCCTCATTGCCAAGTGGGCTCCTCCTGGGGGAGGCCCTGACCTGCTGGTGGCTGGAGACAATGGCAACTTTACCCTTCGACTAGAGTCTGTGAGCCAAGCCCAGGCTGGGACCTACACCTGCCGCATCCATGTGCAAGGGCAGCAGCTCAGTACCACTGTCACTCTGGCAGTCATCGCAGGTCAGCCCCGGGTGGGAAAGGGGTAGCTCCCACCCCAGGGGAGCTGGGACAGGGAGGGAAGGCTGGCTGGGCAAAGACTGGGCAGATCCGTCTCATAATGCCAGGCCACAGGGTACAAGTTGTTGCCCCCGTGGTCTCTTCTTTTCTCACCCCCATATGTGAAGAACTGAAACTGAAAATCTCTCTTGAGTCACTAGATGAGTGTTCCACTCTACTCTAAGGGGATCCCCTTCTCTGAATTGGGGGGAGGGTCTGAGAAGTTAGAAAGAGAGGTGACGAAAGTTTGAATGGTTCAAAAGTGATGGAATATATTTCTAGAATCCTTGTCACACTTTGGGGCCAGGGCTTGGGTTAAAGTTGAAGGAAATGGCCTGGATTTGGGAGGAGTTAATAAATCAGTCCCTTGGTCAGCAAATATTTACTGAGCGTGGGATTTTCAAGACCATGTAAAACAAACACACATTTAAAAAAAAAAAAAAAAACCTTCAGAAAATGTTTTCATTGATTGGTAACTATCAGCATGACAGGTTGGCTATGTCTGCAGTACTCACCTGTGGCCACTGCATAGTAGCACCACACAGTAGGTGCTTAATACTGTATACTGGTTGAATAAGTAAATGAATATGTTAAGAAATAATATATATTCTGAGGGCCAATATTGAATTCTCACATGCTTCCTGGATATCATAGCTGCACCTCAGCCTCACTCTGGATCCCATCTTTTCCTCATGCCCAATCCTCTTGCTGACTTAGCCTTTCTTTCAGTAATTCCAATCTCATCCCACTCACTATAAAACCTGGCCTCTTTCTTCTCCCATGTCCAGTCAGTCTCCAAAGCCTACCAATTCTTTCCTTCCAAGGTCTTCTTGAGGGTCCACTGTTTTGTGTCAGTTTCCCATGCTATCTTATGACAACTCAATGGGAGATTTTTACAGAGGAGGAGCTTTCCTAAAGTCACGTAGCTGCTAAGTGCCAGACTCGGAGTCTAAACATGGGTCTTCAGGTTCCTACACTAGGCTCAACTCAAAGTCTTTCACCATATGTCTCCTCTAACTCACTGAGTCGCTACTGTTCAGCTTTGAGATGCTCTGTCTCTAGGTGGCTAGTCAGTTTACTGTTCTTCAAACAGGAAAGAGGAGAGTTCATTCAAGGGGCATCTCAAGCAAGGAAGGGGCACTGATATAAGTTGAAGCAGGAAAAGTGCAAAATATATTGGGGGCTAACTCGTGTGAGAGATATTGGGGGTTCTGCGCATTTGAATAGACAGTAATGTAAAAGAATCTGAAATAATATTTGTTATGTGATCTTTCTGGGCCAGTTTGAGTTTGATCAGTCCCCCGAAGGCAGTAGGGAGCCTGGAAAGTTTTTGATAAGTAGAGTGATCTGACCAGAGTTTTGTCTTGATAAGATTAATTTGGCCATGACCCTGATCTTCCCGCAACCTCACCCCAAAAATATGAGGATGTGGCAAGATGTCGTTTTAGCTATGAGGCTATGCCTAATCCTGTTCTTTCTCCGTAGGTGCCCAGCGCTCTGAGAGAGTCCCACGTGCCCAGAAAAAAGGCCATCTCCCTTTCTTTCTCACCCTTGGTGTCCTCTTTCTGCTTCTTTTGGTGACTGCAGCCTTTGGCTTTCACCTTTGGAGAAGACGGGTGAGACGGGGACACCCCTCTTCCTACCACTGGCTTCCCTTCTCCCTAGTTCTTGGAGTGCTGTCTGGCTCTCCTTCAGGGAAGATGACTAAGGTGGACCCTGAACTTACCTTTAGAGCCCCCTCTCCATAAGCCTCTGCATTCTAGGGACTCTTTGTGCTGAAAGAAACTAAGGGAGGCTTGAGAAAAGGCCTGGAGTCATATTGGGGAGGGCTAGAGGCTGAGAAAGAATAGTTGGACTCCGTATCCTCTTTATTCCCTTTCTCTTCATCCTTCTCCTCCTCCTGCCCTCCATACCTTCCTACAGTGGCAACCAAGAAGATTCTCTGCCTTAGAGCATGGGATCTACCCACCTCAGACTCAGAGCAAGATAGGGGATCTGGAGCAAGAACCAGAACCAGAGCCGGAGATGAAGCCAGAGGCAGAGCTGGAGCCGGAAGTGGAGCTGGAGTCAGAGCTGGAGCCACAGCAGCCCTGACCTGGAGCTGAGGCAGCCTGCAGATCTCCACAGCTTAGTCTAAATAAACTCCCATCAGCAGCAAGTCTGAGTCTCGCTCCTTCTTTTCCAATGAAGGTCCTTGTCTCTCCCCAGCCTCTGGGGGCTCCCTTCTCCTACCCTAGCCTTCTGACCTACTTTCTGCATCCAGTCTCTCTTAACTTCCCCTTTCTGTTCCTGGCTTCTCTGTGATTCTTTCTTTCTTTCTCTCTCTCTCTCTCTCTCTCTCTCTCTCTCTCTCTCTCTCTCTCTCTCTCTCTCTCTCTCTCTCTCTCTCTCTCTCTCTCTCTCTCTCTCTCTCTCTCTCTCTCTCTCTCTCTCTCTCTCTGTCTGTCTGTCTCTCTCTCTCTGTCTCTCTGTCTCTCTCTCTCTCTGTCTCTGTCTGTCTGTCTCTCTGTCTCTCTCTCTTGGATAATCATTTTTCTGAAGCTCCAAAAAGCCCTCACTCCTTACCTCTACGGCCCTTTCCTCCATCCTTTTGCTTATGTCATGCTGGCTGCCCTGGTTTCCTTTATATTTTTATTCTTCTGGCCCACCCTACCCCAGCCCACACTCGGCTCTACTTCAGCGCTGTCCTTGACCCTCTAGCTGCAGTGCACGTGAAAACACACACACACACACACACACACACACACACACACACACGCACATGCACAGACACACAACATCCTGCCCTGTCAAGTCCTCCAGGAGATCAGGTCTCGCGACCTTTCTGGGCTGCAGGCTGAGGTTCCTGCCTGCCTCTGCCCCACCCCCATGTTCCTCAGCTCTTAGGGCCCTGTCTTGTTCCTGGTATGAGAACACACTGCCACCCAGTGGTCACTGTTTGTCACACACCACTGGAGGTCACTGGGTATGCTGGGGCAGGCTTGAGGAGATGAGCAGTGGAGTGGACAAGCAGGCACACATCCCCGCGTATGGTCACTGCCTTTGTGGGGTGCACTTGCTGTGACCCTCATATGAGTGTGTATCCAATAGCTGTCACATGCCCATGCACCTGCCAGGAGAAGGACTGAACCATTCATGCCTCGGGACACATAGCCCTGGCCCTGGCAAGGTTATGATCCAAGTCTGACAAAGGAGAATGCTACGAACAAAGGCCCCACATGGGGAGAAAAACAACCAGACATCTGGCTAATGCTGCAGCTTTGGGAGTCAGGTCACCTGGCTCCTGATCCTAGCTGTGCTGCTGTGACCGGGGGTAATCTCCCTGAGCCTCAGTTTCCTCACCTATTAAATGGGATAATGATAATAACCTACTTAAACAGGCTGTTGTGAATACTGGATGGTAAAAGGGCTTGGAATACTATGACGTGCTCCATGCATGTGATGTACTTGTCTGATCATCCGTTTGTGAAGGAGGAAGCAGGCCTTCTCTAGTCATGCCAAGAGTGATATGGAAGACCCACCAGCCTGTCTCCCTAGCTCTGCTTGTCTCTCTCTTGGCGAGAACATTCCTCTTGGCCATCCAGACCATCCTCCAGCAGAGCACACACGCGCAGCACCTCCGCAGGAACCAAACCTCCACCTGCACTGTGTGCAGGGGTCTGGACTTTGGCCTCAGACAGCTCTGTCTGGGAACTTTAACCCCGGACAGGAGGGGAAAAAAAACATTGAAAGAGAGTGGGAGCAAGTCTGCAGGTGCAGAAGCCTCCATGTTTTACCGGGGCAGGGGTTTCCTGGAAATTTCTGTGGGTGGTATCTTTCCTTTCTACTAGACAACATCCTATGGCCTTTGGGCTTATGAGAGTAGTCATCGAGGATTCACCAGCATCTATGCAGGGACTTCCCCATGCTCCTGCACTAAAGGGACAGGGAGGAGATAAGGGCAGAGTGAAGGGCCACCTTGTTCCTCCACTCACTAAGGAAGTGAAGAGCAAGGGGCTGAAGGAAGGGAACATGGGGCTTGCACATACAGTGCTCTTTTTATTAATTCTTTCCCCCTTTCCTATGAGATCTCTCCTAGGGGGTGAAAAAAATTCCCTGTACCACAAAGCCCCAGTAAGATAACCTCCAGCCCTTTTCGCTTTCTCTTAAGGCCTTCCAGGGAGCTAGGTTAATTCATCCCACATCTTTAAGTTTATCTGCGAACTGGTGTTCCAAGCTGGGGATCTGGAGGGGAAGGGACATTAAAGAGGCAGGGAGCTCTGTGGGTGCTGTAAGGGGGAGAGGAGAGATTATCTTAGGTCCTTGTTAAAAAAAAAAGGGGGAGGGGTGTATTAGTTATCTATTGCCACATAACAAATCACCCCCAAACTCAGTAATTTAAAACAATAAGCATATTATCTCACAAGATCAGGAATCCAGGAGCAGCTGAGCTGAATAGTTCTAGGGCAGGGTCTCTTGTGAGGCTGCTGCCAAGATGTGAGCCAGGACTGGAGTCATCTGAAGGCCGGGCTAGACTGAAGGATCTGCTTCTAAGCATCATCTTCAGGAGGCTGCTGACCAGAGGCATTAGTTCCACCCCATATCGGCCTTTCCTTAGGGTCACTTGTGACATAGCAACTGGCTTCCCCCAAAGGCAGAGAGTGGCCAAGACAAAAGTTGTCATGTCTTTATAACCTACTCTGGAAAGTGACATACCATCCCTTCTGCTCTATTCTATTGGTCACACAGACCAATGCTGGTACAACGGGAGAGGGGACCACATAAAGGTGTGAACTGAAGGAGGCAAAAATCACTGGGGGCCATCTTGCATCATCTTGGCTATCATGGGTAGGGATAGTGTCTTGTAAGAGAGATAGGCCACGAGAAGGGAATAGGAATCCCTGAGTACCTCCACCCCCAGCTCTGCCATGAACCCGACAGTTTCCCTTATTGTCCGCTGTCCAGAAGTTCTGGAGGCCAAATGAGGTCCAGAGCCTTGCCAAGTCAAGTGTGTTAGGCAAGAGGCCATGCTGTGCTCATCCAGAGCTGTGGTCACATTTGCCAGTGTGTCCTCCACCCCTGACCTGGTCTTTTTATCTCTAAGGTGCAGGGCAGGCCCAGAAATTTCCCTGCCTCACGTCCTCCACCAGGCAGAAGTTCTAGAGTTCAGGCCTGGGCCCCTGCTGATACTCTCCCACGAAGGAGGTAAGCAGGGAGCTTAGGTTTCCTTGCTTGGGCCCACCCCAAGATGGAGCTCACCCTTTGAACAGAATGGGCTGGCAAGAAGATGGGTTCTATCTCTTCCACTCTGTGGCTGACAGTTTCTCCAAAGGGCTGCAGGTGCCAGCTGGCTGAGCCCAGGCTGGGCTCTGAAATTTGCCTGCTCATAGCTCCTATAGGGTGTGGGAGGCCCAGGAATCATCCTCTGAGTTTCAGAAAGTGGTTATGGAGCTAAGGAGATTGTGGACAGGGTTGAAGTGGGTCAGCTCTCCAAGGCCCTGCTTCACAGAAAACGGCCTCTGTGGCCCCTCCCCCAACCCCTCATCTCCAAGCCCTGCCCCCAATGTTCCTTGCAGACAGTGTCAGTGCAGCTGCAGATGTGTCTGGTAAGGGGGCCACCACAGGACTGCACCTGGGGCTTCCATCTTCCCTTCCACAGCCTTCCACAGGCAGCCCTACCCCTTCTCCAATAGCCCAGCCTCCAACACTCTGAGCATTGATGCTAGCTTCCCTCTTCTTCCCCTCTCTTTCTCCACACTTGATTTCCTTCCACTACTCCAGCCTCGAGGCAGAATCCATGCAGCAAAAATAGCTCTCTACCGAGAATCCAGAGACTTCTGGAAATCCCCATGTTCCGTGCTTACAGTCATACCATGGGGCAGAGAGTTTAACTTCGGTTTCTTCTTCTGTAGAATGAGGATAGTAATACTTACCAAAAAGGTTTGGCGTGTGCAAATGTGTATGAAAGTGCTCTGAAGATGGAAAATCACTCTATAGATATAGATCATGGTGATATTAAGCCTCAGAAGTCCCAGATTGGGTATGAGGTTGTCAGCCTCATACTCTTGCACTCTATGGTAGAAGACATCTTAGTCATCATCCTGGCCTTTTTAATGCAAAGGAGAGGTAGTGAGATGAGGGGGTCAATCCAGGCATTGGAATCCAAGCAGAAGTTCAAATCCTAGTTCTATCAGTTATGGTTGCCAGCTCTGTGACCTTTAGAAATTTTTAAAAACTCTCTGAGCCTCAATTTCCTCATCCATATGGTCTAGAGAATAATACTTATGCCTTATCATTGTTGTAAGGATTAAATAAAATTCACAGCCATATAAAGCACACAGCAGTTCTAAATTTTCAATGTAAGCCTTCCCTCTCTTCCTCCTTTCTTTTCCTCTTTGGAATCCCAGAAGGGTAGCCAGGTTTTTGAAGTCTGTTGACTTCTGGGAACCCATCTTCACAGGCATTCACAGGTCACAGACCCAAGAGCTGAATGGTGTCACACAATCCAACTGGTCCATCGAGTGCATATTGGTGGGTCCTAGGCTAGATCCAGCTCTTAGAATGCTTTGTTTGATCTACTTGGTGTTAGAACAAAAGAAAAAATTAGTTGCCAACACTTAAACTTAGGAGATGTTACATAAATGTCTGGTTTTCCATCTTCTCTCAAAATTTTGTCAGAACTGGAAACTCTGGGTTCACATTCTGACACAGCCTCTACTCTCAACTCAGCTGGAGCTGTGTGGTTAGTGGCTGCCCTCATTAAATGAGACAGATACTCTCTAGTTTACCTCAGTCCCCACCCCTCCCTAGTTCATAGCCAGTCTACTTTTCTCATTTGTATTACCTAGCAGGCTCCTGTAGGCATTTAAGTTTGTGACTGAATCTAGTCCTTCTCCATTCATTTATTACAAAAATATTCAACAGCAAGGGACTGGGGAGAGGGGGGATGGGGACTTAGTGTTTAACAGGTACAGGGTTTCATTTGGAGAAAATGAAAAAAGTTCTGAAGATGGATGGTGGCAATGGTTGTACATGAATGTGCTCAATGCCACAGAACTGTGCACTAAAAAATGGTTACAATGGCAAATGCTAGAGAGGATGTGGAGAAAAAGGAACCCTCATACACTGCCAGTGGGACTGCAAATTGGTACAGCCACTATGGAAAACAGTGTGGAGGTTCCTCAAAAAACTAAGAATTGATCTATTATATGATCCAGCAATCCCTCTACTGGGTATTTGCCCCAAAGACTTGAAAACCCATATCCGAAAAGATTTTTGCACACCGATGTTCATAGCAGCATTATTCACGGTGGCCCGGACGTGGAAGCAACCGAAGTGCCCTACGATAGAGGATTGGCTAAAGAAGCTGTGGTACATATATACAATGGAATATTACTCAGTCATAAGACAAGATGAAATACTGCCATTTACGACAACATGGATGGACCTTGAGGTAATCATGCTAAGCGAAATAAGGCAGACAGAAAAAGTTGAAAATCACATGATATCACTTATATGTGGGATATAAACCTAAAAGCAACAAATGAACAGGACAAACAAACAGAGACTCATGGACATGGACAAGAGACTAGTGGTTATCAGAGGGTAGGAGGTGGGGGAGGAGGGGGGAGGTAGATGAGGTAAAGGGGGTCAAATATAGAGGGGAAGGGGGAGGGTGAAGTGGATAAAGGGGATCGAATATGTGGTAGCTGAAGGAAACTGGACTTTGGGTAGTAAACACACAACAGAATATACAGATGTCAAATTATAATGTACATCTGAAAATTATATAATTGTATTAACCAATGTTACCCCAATAAACTTAATTAAAAAAAAGTGGTTACTATGGTAAATTTTATGGGTATGTATATTTTACCACAACAAACTTAATATCAATAAATATTGATAAAATTTAATATTAAAAAAAGGATTTGACAAGTATGAAGGAACTACCAGGCCTAAGGTACTCTGCTGGGTGCTAAGTAAAACAGACATGGTCACCACAGTAGTCTGAGAAGGACACTAAACAATCAATAATTTTATAATTATTACACTTGGACAAGTACTTTCAGGGGAGAAGCAGTACAGGATACTGGGAGATCTTACCACAAGGGACCCTGATTTTAGCTGAGGAGCTCGAGAGACCTTCTCAGACTATGAAGAGGGGTCATGGGTGGAGGATGGTGGAGCAACAAGATACAAACAGCACAAATCTAGTCTGGGGGGTACAGTGTTGTGCCCCCTTACCTCTCTCGCTTCTGACCACCTGCCTCAGACCTCCTTCAGGTGAGAAATCAACTTCAGTCTCATGTAAGCCTCTATTAATTTGAATTTTCTTTCATTTGTAGCAGAGCCCAATGCTTACTGATATACACTTACCATGGAAGCCCTTCTCAATCTCCCAGATGAAATAAGTTTCCCTCTCTCAGAACTCTGTGCTTCTCCCTTTGTAGTATTTGCCCAATCATAATAGAATTATTAATCGTTTAATATCTATGTCACAGGCTAAAGCAGTGACCATGTCTAGCTTACTTAACATCCCCAGCACCCAGAAGAGTGCCTTGAGTCTGATAGACACTCAACACTTGTTGAATATAGGAATGGATGGAGAGAACCAGACTAGATTAGGGGTTATAAACTCAAATGCCTAGAGAAGGCTGCTAGGTAATGTAAACGAGAAAAGCAGGTGAGCTGTAA